AAAATAAATGTTCTCTTTAGAATTTTTTTCTCTTTTTTGCTCTATAAAATAGTTGTTTTCTTTATTTTCTTAGCAGTAGGATATACATGAAAAAAGAAACAAATTAAGTTTGAGTGAAAATGTAAATTTTTTGCACTCTCTGGTCAACTGACTCAGTGACTCAAATGACTCAAAAAACCCGATTCACTTTGGTGAGTGACTCATTAAAATTCGATTCAGTAAAAAGAATCAATTTTACCATCAGTTCAAAATGTGCTCTGGCACAATCGCAAGCATCGCTTGCTACTGAAAACAAGAAAAAAGCCAGTCCTGCTATGGGCTGAATCATTTGTTAATGGTGGAGGGGGGTAACACTATGCAATATATTCCGTTTTAGCATTTATATTCACCGTTGACTGTAACTACGCTCAAAGTGTTAATGCTATCTTATTTTAATAAACAACACTGTCATATGCAAGACTGGGGTGGCACTTGGGGTGGCAAGGGATCATTTCATGCCACCCTTCTAGATCCGCCCCTGGCTTTACTTACAGGACTGACTTTTTATTATTTTTTTGGAAAAGGGGAAAAAGAGCAAACCTCTGTAAATTCTGTATAACTCATCACAACTTTATAGCTAAAAAACCAAAGCTTGACATCCATGCCTTACATGGTTGTGGTTACTAGGTTGGGATTGAGCATTCCTACCATCATCTATGTTCCTCCACGGTGGGTAGTAATGTGAAAAATTAAGATAGTGGTTACAAGGAATGGGAATAAGCTACTTCTGAAGGGTGTATGGGTTCAGACTTCTTGTTAGGATGCTGTTCTATTCAGAACAGCTGGCTTGGCAATACCTCCTTGTGCACTTACAAGAGGTAGAGGATGTGGCCATTGTAAGGGAGGTTTTGACATGTCCATGGCCAGAGGGGCCGATGGCGCGATATGGCAGCCTCGCTTCTGTCAGTCTGCCCCAGGACAGCTGTGGTTACAACTGTAGCTTGCCTCCAGTGTGTGAATGTGAGAGTGAATGAATAGTGGAATTGTAAAGCGCTTTGAGGGCCCCAAAAAGCACTATATAAATGCAATCCATTATTATTATTATTATTATTATTATTATTATTATTATTATTATTGTTATTATTATGTCTACTTAGACTACTGTCACTGATAAGTGACAAAAATGAATGAGTGGTTTGATTGATGACCGAATACAAGTACAGTCAAACCAAAGTCATTCTCAGCGTTGTGCATGTTTGATTGAATTAAAAATACAATAATAATTGAATAAATGGAAACACAATGTGTGCAAATACAGTCCGTCTCAAAAGGTTGGTTTAGATATTTTTGACACTGTTTTTAAAGGAGAAGAGAGGCCACTAAAGGCATAATGTGTCTAAAATCAGCAATTAAGAGGATAGAAAATATTTTTTAAAATTAAACACTGTTAGCCTGTTAATCTTTAGGCTCATCTTATATCTTCATTGTTGTCTATAAGAAAAATATAGTTAACAAATTAATTGTGAACTTTTTATGAGGTCATGTTTTCTGTCCTCATGTTTTCAGGAATGCACGACGAAAAATGTGTCCTGAAGCAGAAGAGGAGCCATCTGTGATTAAATCTCGAGTAGGCCTGTTTTGGCTTAAAAAGACAGAGACTATGCAGGATGAGAAGGTGGATGGAGATTATGGACTAATTATAAATGGGCACAGTCTGGTAAGGTTTTTTTTTTAAATTTTTTTTAGCAATATTACTATTGTCAGCAAATGCTGAAAATCCCCTGCTAGTTGACCTGTAGAGGTCACAAACTGTGTGATCAGAAAATACATATTGTTTTTTTTAAGCCTGATTCTCTTATATTTCTTAAACTTAGAGATGAATGTAGAAATTAATGGGATTCTCTTGAGGTTTTAAGGTTGCACTACGGAGTCTTGACAGATGACCTAACTCCAATCAATTCTTTCCTTCATCATCAGGCTTTTGCACTGGAGAAGAACTTGAGGTTGGAGCTGCTGAGGACAGCATGCATGTGTCAGACAGTGATTTGCTGCAGGGTGACTCCTTTGCAGAAGGCCCAAGTGGTTCAGCTGGTCAAGAAATACAAGCAGGCTGTCACTCTTGCAATTGGAGATGGAGCCAATGATGTCAGCATGATAAAGGGTAGTGTCACCATTGTGAAGTCACCATTATACAGAGCTGTATTTTCATTACAGTTAACCAGCTGGGGAATATGTGGCTGATATTGGGTATTTTATTTGCTTCCTTTTCTGCCTGCCAGTTGCTCATATTGGTGTAGGTATCAGTGGGCAGGAAGGCATGCAGGCAGTCCTCTCCAGTGACTTTTCCTTTGCCCAGTTCCGTTACCTTCAGCGCCTCCTGCTGGTGCATGGCCGCTGGTCCTACATCCGCATGTGCAATTTCCTTGGATATTTCTTTTACAAGAACTTCACTTTTACACTTGTCCAATTCTGGTACGCCTTCTTTTGTGGTTTTTCTGCACAGGTGAGATATATGTATTGTAACTATACTATAATGTAATTTAAGTAGCTTTTGTAATGGGACATAAAGTGTTTATCAATCTCAATGAGAGAAGTGCAAAAAGGTTTCAAATGATGCAGGACAAATGAAACAAATAACTTGATTCACATTCACCTTTTCTTAATGTTGTACTTAAATGTTCATCGTGTTTGTTCACAGACTGTTTATGAGGAGTGGTTCATCACCTTCTACAATATGGTTTACACAGCTCTTCCAGTCCTTGGCATGTGTCTGTTTGACCAGGTATGTAGATTGCAAGTAACTATCAGTTTTTGGTCGACTTACATAAACCAGATTATCATCTCATTGTCAGGTCTCTGTGTCCACTGAGCTTTCTCATCTCTTTCACTAAACCTTGTTTTGTGCAGGATGTAAATGACCGTTGGAGTTTATACCATCCTCAGCTCTACGCTCCAGGGCAGAAGAACCAATACTTCAATAAGAAAGCTTTTGTGAGCTGTGTGGTGCACAGCTGCTACAGTTCCTTAATCCTATTTTTTATTCCATGGGCTTCCATGCATGACACAGTCAGAGATGATGGAAAAGAGATTGCTGACTATCAGTCTTTTGCTTTATTGGCACAGACTTGTCTGCTTATTGTGGTGTACACACAGGTGAGAAATACAGCTCTCGTTACCAGAGGCATGCTTGGAAATGACATATTTATTGTGACAACATAGAGAATCACAAAACTTTGCCACATTATTTGTCCTCCTTCTTCTCAAATTTGAGAAAAATTTGCATTTAACAGTTTTATTTATGCATTTCTATACCATAAGTCCATGTGCACTCATTAGATACTTTATTAGGTGCATGCGGTTATTATCACTTTTGCCTGCAGAACTGCTCATTTTCATTATGGCAAATTTTCAAAAAAAGCCTGAAGTATTGATACAAATGTTGATTCTGACCCTACCATCTAAATATTACTGAGATTCATGATACCAGGCAATGCTTTTGTTCTTCTGTATGCCATGGTTGCCGTGTTATTTGAGTTATTGTTGCTTTACTATCATCTTGAAGCATTCTGTCAATTCTCCTCTGGCATCAACAATCTTTGGCCAGAGAACTGCTGCTCACTGGATGTTTTCTCTTATAGAACTATTCCTTGTAAACCCTAGAGATAATTGTGTGGGAAAATGCCAGTAGATCAGCAATTTCTGAAATACCCAATCTAGCACGCAAAACCACACCACATTCAAAGTAACTTAATTAGCTTTTTTGCCTCCCTGATGCTTAGTCTAAACTCCAGCAGGTAGTATTGACCACGTGTACATGTTCAAAAGCATTGAGTTCCTGCCATTTGATTGGCTGGTTAATAAACAGTTGAACCGGGGGTACCTAACAAAGAGGCTACTTAGTCTACAGACTAATCTGCTGTAACAGAAACATTTCCATTCTATGTCAGTCTCTAAATTTGAGTTTATGTAAAGAAATAAGTACACAGGACATTAATAATGATAAAAGTAAATACTTTTCAGCTGTGTCTTGACACCTATTACTGGACAGCAGTGAACCATTTTTTTGTGTGGGGAAGCATGGTGGCCTACTTTTCCATCACATTAACCATGTGCAGCAATGGCATGTTTTATCTCTTCACGTCTTCTTTCCCCTTCATTGGTAAGTACATTTACTATATTTAGTATGTTTGCCACTTTAATGTTAATTTAATGAAGTTATCAAGTTTTTTTCTATTCTAAAATATTGGTACTTTAAAGGAGACATGAGTACATTAAAACAGGGTCATGCAAACTAGCATTTAGACAAAAAAAGGTTAGAGTTGTGCTGGCTGTATCCTGGGATTGTGTATTTAAATTTCATCATCCATTTTTGCAGTTTGTGAAGTTACTTTCTTATATACTGTAATACTGTAACATTATGTGATTCTGACATTATTGGATTTCAGGCACAACAAGAAACTCTCTGAACCAGCCTAATGTGTGGCTCACCATATTCCTGACGTTCCTCCTCTGTATCCTGCCTGTTGTTGCTTTCCGCTTCATATTTATACAGCTTCGTCCTACCATTAATGACAAGGTGAAAAAACACTTGGGGCAGCATGTAAAACCATCTTCTCTTCTATTCACCCTTTTGTCTTGTACACCAGAAAGTAGGGTATCCATAGTGAAAAGTCTACATTTAATAAAAAAAAAAAAAATCCCTTGTTTCTTTTTTCTAGGTGAGGTATAAGATGCGTACAGAGGAGTTGCCTGTACCGGCACCTCGTCGCTTACGGAGAAGGCGTAGTACTCGGTCAGGTTACGCCTTCTCTCACTCCCAGGGCTATGGTGATCTGGTAACATCTAGAAAATTCCTGATGAAACGCTCCACCAAGAGAGCTCCTCTGTTCACCCAGACAGACTCTTCCATATTTCAAAATCAGCCACAGCACTACCGCACTATTGCTGAGGAAGCTGACGAGTCACAGGGTCACAGTCCCTAAAACCGAAGCACACAGGGACTGAAACACAGACAGTATTTTATTTTCCTAACACTGGAGTCAACCTGGCACTGAAGAAAAGATGGTGTCTTATAATGTGTGACTGTTGATATCTCTGTGAAAATGTTGTTTGCCTCAGAATGTTTTTTTTTTATTTTTGTGCTTAATAAGTACAATTTTCATATTGTGCAACTTGAATTATTACTGGCCAGTTTCTAAAGCACACTTGAAGATTTTGCAAATATGTTCTACCCTGGTTTTAGTTAATTTCATTACAAATACAATTGGCTTGTGGAGTAGGATTAAAAAAAAGGTAGATGTAGTTTGTTTTGTTTTTTCTTAGTTTTGAAATAGGTTTTCAAACTAGATAGCTGAGAAATTACAAATATAGGAAGTTTTATTGATTTTTAATACAAAGTATATACTAAAAAGTTGTGTGTAGGCAGTGATCTTGAATACTGTACTATACATTATATATAGTATAGTATAGTTTATACACTGTAGTTATTTACATGAGGATTATGTGTTATTATACTGTGTTAATAATTTAACATTCAGTCCTTCATGAATGTATAACTTAACCTGGCACCACTACAGTCACATTGTTCACGGCGGACAGCCACTTATTAGTCTTATCTCTGTAACAGTTTTTTGTTTGTTTGTTTGTTTTTGTTTGTTTTTTTTTTTTGCCTTTTCATAACCTTATTTTTAAAAGGAGAAAACCAGAATTAAATGTGTTTTTATATTTAGCAAGGAACTGAATTCTGGAAAAGGGGATTGGTATAAAAAGCAGATATCTAATTTTCTAATCCAGGCTTCAAGCATATGTGGATTATAGTCATTAACAGTTGTTAAATCATTGGACCATGGTTCAGGATGGCTGTATTAATTTTCTTCATTATGTTAAGACTTTGCTCATACTCTCTGAGTAATAAATTGCTTTTTCTAGTTCCAGCAGTCAGTTGAGCTGTAATGTATTTGTTTATGGAAAAACACAGAAGTAGTGTATGTGTGAGCTTCGTCTTTGTTGACACTCTACACAGTAAAAGCAGTTAATGACATACAAGGACTGTGAACTCTGAACTCATGCACTGTTTTCACACTGTGTTGATCAATAAAGCCCTTCAAAATTGACTCTTTCACTTTGCTGTCTTTTATTGACTTAATCGGTACCTATGTACCGTATAGATTTTATATACCTTCATGTGATAAGATTCCCTCTGATTGGCTGGGGCACTTCGGCTTTACTATTGTTTTAGTGCCTTTCCCGTCCTGCACCTGCTCAAGTCCAACGAACACTGAACGGTTTACATAACTTCTTAGCCGTTAGTTGCAAGAGAATCCCTCCTCCTCCTGCATGTGCCCAAAACTTCTACTGTAGGTGCAACTACAACATTTCACCTGTTGTTCCTGTTGTCTTTTATCCTGCTAGAAGACTCAGTTGATCCTCCTTTCTCTTTTTAGGATTAAACTGGTGCATGGCCTTCCATGCACTGAAGAGACAAAAACCTGGATTTATTTTTTCAAAGATGGAAGTAAAAGGAGGGTTGAAATCTTAAAATTCAAGCACCTGTGTCTGTTTGCAAGCAGGACCCAGAAGACAAAAGAAATTATATTTTTGTTTGAGGTATGTGGTTGATTTTCATTTGTTTTCAGACTTTAAAAAACTATTAGAAAATGCTGCATTTTATTAGTTCTTATCAAGAACCATTTAAATCACTTTTGGTTTACAGTAATTCAGACCTATTTAATATTTTTGCAAGTGGAAGAAGAAGGATCAAATGAAACATGCCAAAAGAGGGCTTCTTGACTTTTTCATGGCTCATGGATGAATTTGTTTTTTCTTCTTAACAAATTAGGTAGCATTAGACCACTGAAAAGTGAAGCAGTTAATTATATTTTTTATATTGCCCTGTGATCAATTCATATTCTTTATGTCTCACTGAAAAACATTTATCCACAACAATTCCTGAAAAATACAATACCTGCATATTATTATGGGCTGATTACTGAACAAGTCAAATGGTCAAGGATAAATCTTTATCTCTATCTGTGTAGTTAGGGATTGTTACCTCTTAAATTTAACTACAGTACAAAGAGTTGAAAGGAAGTTGCACTATATCTTTACAGCTTTGGAGAACTGATAAAATGGGGAGGAGTGGAAATCTTGACAAGTATGTGACTGATGGCTGTCTATCTATAGATTGATGGAGAGATATTTTGAGTGTTGTGAAACCTCAGATTTATTATTTTTGGGATATTTTGCATCTGTCTTTCCCTCATATCCAATTTATGAGGTGTGCTGTACATCTTAAACAGCTCCACCTTTTCACTATTAATCCCTAAATATTATAGCAACTGGTTCCCTCTCGCTTTTGCCACAGTTTCCCCTTTTGGTTTTTATATCCATTGGGTGACCGTGGTTTGGGCTTGGGAAGCTCATCTTGTAACCGGAAGGTTGCCGGTTCGATCCCCAGCTCTGTCTGTCTTGGTTGTTGTGTCCTTGGCAAGACACTTCCCCTCCTGGTGATGGCCAGAGGGGCCAATGGTGTGATATGGCTGCTTCTGTGAGTCTGCCCTAGGGCAGCTGTGGCTACAACTGTGGTTTGCCTCCACCAGTCAGAATGAATGAATAGTGGAAATGTAAAGTGCTTTGAGGGTCTTGAAAAGCACTATATAAATGCACTCTATTATATCGACATATAATACCAATAAAGACTCACTAACTGAAAACTCACTAATTAGGACTGAAATGTGTGTTTTTCCAGGTTATAAAACATGGAGAACCTGAGTTAAAGATGGGAACTGTGCTGTCATACTTTTGCCAGTTGTGTGGACACGGAAATAAGGAAGGTGAGATTAGAAGCACGTAAACTTTGCTCTACTTTACTGCATTGTTCAGTTACTGTATGTAACTCAGTTTTACTCAGTTTTCGTTTTATTTATTTATTTTTGTGGCAAGCAGTGCACATTTCAAAATGCTGCTGGACTAACAGCTCTGAAATGTTTGCATAAATTAAATTTGAGTTTGTCTTTCCTCAGTACTGCTGTAACATACAGTAGCATAAACTCTCTCCTGCTCTTACTGCTTTACTCTCTCACAGAGAAGGAGAGATGCTTGCGGGCTAATGACAGAACTTTCAACCTATCTTTCCGCTATGCTGTAAGTATATAAACAAATGTTATCATGCCTATCAAGCTTTGGACACACCCTCAGCTCAATGCTTTGCTTGTTTGGATTTGATTACTCTGTCACAACGAATGTCAAGTGTCACAAAGACCGTTTTTTGAGTAAATAGGAAATTTTATGAAATTAATAGTACAATCCTAGAAATCTTAGGATTTTTTGTTAGTATGTCTGCCAAATATAAATTAAACATTAAAAAACTTTATTACAAACATTTAAATATTAAATCACAGTGATTTTTGTTAAACTGACATCAGTCATGTTACTTTCCTCTGTCGATTTCTTTAACTTCAGAACAATGCCATCAAGACCTCCAAATACAACATCTTCACCTTCCTGCCACTTAATCTTTTTGAGCAGTTCAGGAGGCTCGCTAATGCCTACTTCCTCTTCCTGCTCATCCTTCAGGTAGACATGTTGCCATTCTTGTCAGAATAATTGCATGCTTAAAAAGAGTTATTTTATGCTGCAGATAGTTATGTGAATGCAAATACCGCATTGAGAGTTCATTCTCTATATTCAACCATACCTTTTTCAAACTTCATTTGACTTAAAATGTGAAAGGACTTGCACTTTTTTTTGCTTTTTTATAAATAGATTTTTTAAAAAAAAAAAAATTTTAAATGCTTTTTCCAAATGTTATTAAGTGTGAACATACATGACATACATAAATAAAATGAAGCAACTGTTAAGTTTTTCAGTTTTAAGAATCTTAAAAGATATTATCTATGCTGTTCACCCTCTGTATGGACACCGCGACAGCTGGTTTGCAATCACCACATCCATGTAGCCTACTGTATTCAGATGATGTGTGTCTATCAGAAACAAAAAACTGCCTAGCCCTGCAAACCTGAACACAAGCATGGAAAGATCGGCTTGTGCCTGATCGGCATGTGCCTGAACATCAAGAAGACTGAGTACCTTGAATGCGGCCCCCAGACCAACAGTACCATCACTATCAACGGCGAGCCGCTGACTAAAGTTGCCTAATTCAAGTACCTCGGGTCCCTTATCACATCGGACTGCGAAACTCTACCAGACGCCAGACTCTGTGTCAACACAGCGTGGATGAAGTGGTGCCAGGTCAGATGAGTCTTGTGCGACAAGAGAAAGCCAATCTATCTTAAGGCGAAAGTTTATAAGTCGATCGTGCGTCCAGTGGCACTCTATGGGTCAGAGTGCTGGCCAGCTACGACCAAGCACGAACAAGCCCTTCACACCATGGAGATGAAGATGCTGACATGGCCTCTGGGTCTCACAAGACTAGACCAAGCGAGGAACAAAGACGTTAGGAAACGATGGGGAGTGACACCGATCACAGACAAGATGCGAGAGGCGAGGCTCCGATGGTACGGCCATGTTGCCCGTAGCGATAAGAACTCCATCGCAAAGACAGCCCAGCAATTAGATCTGGGTGGCAACAAGCCACGAGGAAGACCAAAAAAGCGCTGGTTGGACCGAATCAAAGACAATATGAAGGCTGCGAATGTTACACCAAAAGATGCCCTGGATAGGAAGAAGTGGAGGAAAGCATGAAAAACAGCAGACCCTGCATCGCGGGATATGAACCGCTATGAAGAAGAAGAAGAAAAGTTATTATCTATGCACTGAAAGAGTGTGTTAATCTTTGTGTGTATGTGTGTTGACAGTTGATCCCACAAACCTCCTCTCTCTCATGGATCACTACAGGTTTCGCCTTAATAGTAGTGCTTTCTATAACAGCAGTCAAAGATGCCATTGATGACATAGTAAGTTGAAATTGGTAATAGCAACAGAGAAAACCAAAAATAAGAAACTAATATCAGATTTGGAAGCAAACAGTATCTTTTTCTTGTGTCAACTGAGCAGAACAGACACAAATGTGACAGAAAAGTCAATAACCGGAAGGTGGACGTCCTCATGGATGGCCAGTAAGTCTTTGAAAACACAAATGAAAAAGAAAAGAATACCTTTTGTATGAAGAATTATGCAGTGTTTGGATTCATTTCTGTGTTGTATGCCTTTGTTCGCTTCCCTGACAGACTCAAAAATGAAAAATGGATGAATGTTCAGGTCGGGAACATAGTCAAACTGGAGAATAATGAGTTTGTCACTGTAAGTTTGGGGAGGCTATAGTAAAGATTTGAAGCAAGTGAAAGAAATTCATTTCAAAAGTAAGTTCCAAACTAAACTCAGTGCTTTTATTTCTTAGGCAGACCTTCTGTTGCTGTCTAGCAGTGAGCCCCTTAATTTAGTTTATGTGGATACAGCTGAACTCGATGGGTAAGTGTGCTGTACTGTGGTGTTTGTATGCTAGGTTGACACCTAATGTCTGACACTGTCTTGGATTTCCCTTGGTCTCCCCCAGAGAAACCAATCTGAAGGTGAAACAGGCTCTGACTGTAACTGGAGAGCTGGGAGACAACATTGAGGCACTGGCTGCCTTTAATGGTGAGAATCTCAATGAAA